CTATTGTAGTCTAGTTCTGACCAGTGTGTCCTTTTTGGTTCTGGTCCCCGCCACATGGATTAATGCTCGATAATCATTCCACTGCTGGCAGTCAAATGTCAGCAACATGCAGACCACAGTTTACAGGTTAACTCAATAATCTGTTTATTCGGATCAATATTCTGTCATAGAAGGGAGCTGGTCATGTGCACACCTTTCACTCTGTGGATGTGTTGAACATTTTGTACACAGCAAAGTAACATTGTCTGTCTGAGTTTGCTGTTTAGAGTGAGGTATATTTTGTCCAAAGAGAGTCTTCTAGAAAGTCATTCTTTTGCTCAGCTGGCCTTAACAAGCTTTTGGTAACAAATGTTCCCCCCTTTATCCTCCGATGTAGCCTCAATGTTCAACGTCTGTGGGGTAATGAAGATAAAAACAAACCTCTTTGAAGAGATATAGTGTAACAGAGGAACAAAAACCCAATAAGGAAGACAAATAATACAATATAGAAGCTACATACTGGTCGCAAGAATGACTTAGAAGGAAGAGGACTAATAGAAAAGGTAGAAAAAGAAAATACAAAGGAGCAGCTGTTATCACCCAGCGATGCGCAGCCTTGAGATGGATAAAAAGACAAAACAGAAAGACCACACACAAACCTCATGGGCACCAATGTCATCTGCAAGGCTGCAGCAAAGGAACATTTACTTAGCACAGTTATACCTTGGACAATACACAGGATATGCTTTTGTGTGCTAGAGTGTAGAAACGGAGAAAGGAATGCTTTTACTTCTAGTATTGTGCTTAAGTACAGTGCCTATAAAAAGCCTTGGGCCTCCTTGGATGTTTTCCCTGTTTATTGTGTTTCAACACTGACTCATGGTCAATTTAATTAGACTTTTTTCTTTGACAAGAATTTACTTAAAATGTTAAGTGTAAACAGGATTCTACAAAGTACTACCAAATAATTAATAACATGAAATGTAAAATAAGTCATGCAGTGGTGCCTATGTATTAACTGCCTGTAAAGTGACTCACACAGGATGATGTGACCAAACCTGAGCTTTTTGGCCATCAGACTAGACACTATGTTTTGTGGACACCAAACACTGCACATTATCACAACAAATCCAATGTGAAGCATGGTGGTGACAGCATCATGATATGAAGTATGGAGGTGGCAGCATCATGATATGAAGTATGGAGGTGGCAGCATCATGATGTGAAGCATGGTGGTGGCAGCATCATGATATGCAGTATGGAGGTGGCAGCATCATGATATGAAGTATGGAGGTGGCAGCATCATGATATGAAGTATGGAGGTGGCAGCATCATGATGTGAAGCGTTGTGGTGGCAGCATCATGATATGAAGTATGGAGGTGGCATCGTCATGATATGAAGTATGGAGGTGGCATCGTCATGATGTGAAGCATGGTGGTGGCAGCATCATGATGTGAAACGTGGTGGCAGCATCATGATATGAGGTATGGAGGTGGCATCGTCATGATGTGAAACATGGTGGTGGCAGCATCATGATGTGAAGCACAGTGGTGGCAGCATCATGATGTGAAGCACAGTGGTGGCAGCATCATGATATGAAGTATGGAGGTGGCATCGTCATGATATGAAGTATGGAGGTGGCAGCGTCATTATGTGGGGACACGTCTTGGCAGCAGGCCCTGGCGGGCTTGTAAAGGTAGAGGGTAAAATGAATGCAGCAAAGTATCGATAAATCCTGGAGGACAACCTGATGCAGTCTGTAAGAAAGCTGTGATTTGGGAGAAGATTTGTTTTCCAGCAAGACAATGATTTGAAGCTTTCAGTCAGAACTACACAGAAATGGTTTAAAGATGAAAGAGGTGTATGTTCTGGGATTCCCGAGTCAGAACCGAGACCTCAATCTAATTGAGATAGAGCTTAAACAGTTTTGCAGTATAGAAAGGGGTAAAAGTGCAGTGTTCAGATGTTCAGCACTGATTGAAACCCATCCACGCAGGCTTAAAAATACCACACTGGAATTTTGTTTTCTGAGATCAAACTATATTTGCACTGAGAAGAATGTAAGCTTTTATCAAACACAAATCTTTGTGACAGTTGTTGAGAGAATGGTCAGTCCTAACATGTACAATGTTGATGGTAGAGAAGATGAAGAAGGCCACAAAGTTAAGACATGGCTAGTTCTACTTACACATTAATATCCAGTTAACGTTTGTTAACAATAGCTATTTTAAACTTCTGGTCTGACCAGATCAGATCAGGTTTCTAACAGTAAATTCCATAAATGAGTTGCACTGAGGGAGTGTGTGTTAATTCTAATGAATTAAACTTCTCATTTCTGGGAGGAAACTCGTTTCATTTCTTCTTTCAAAAGTTCAACTCTCACTTGAAAGGAAGTGGTAGGAGGGAGAGTGAAACTATGCAGTTGCCAGGTTGGTATGTGCCATCCCACATGTTTTATTCAATCAGGTGCATAACCTCACAAAAAAAAGTGTGATTCAGTTACAAAAAAATAAAAAATAAAAAAAAATTGGGGGGTAACAATCCTACCTGCTGACTGTCACAGCACCCACAGGCCTGTTGAACTGGTTGGCTCAAAACGGTCCACGACTGTATCACTTATGGCTTCCTGAGGAGATCATGACACCCACAAAACAACTTTAAAATACTAGAGGGACAAACACAGCGCACAGAAAAGCTTTATCAGGTTGACTGACCAAAAATACAGTCTGTAAAAACACTCAAGCTGCTGCTGTGATCTCCCAGTTCTACAGCTACTGTCATTCCATTAACTGCTGCCACAAGTTCCTAAGAGTTTCTCAGTGAATGCCTCTAAGAGGCTCTATAGCAGGTATTGGGCAGGTAGACTGGGGTCAGAGCATTTTAGGAATTTCATAGTATTTTATTTTTTATTGTTGCCTATAAAGCACTTTAAATAACCTCCATGTATGATATGGTCCTATACAAATAAACTTGCTTGCTTGTTAAGTTTTCTAAAGCGATTAGTATTTAAGTTCATCTTTTCCATCTATTCTTTTTAAGATTGTGTCAAAAAAAAAAGATGTACAAGCAGTGATAGTTACTCGTCTGATTATAGGGGAGTTTCACTGCTGCACCAAAAAAAGAAAAACGACTCATTTTCATGCTACAACCTGAAAAGGTTTAGTTATATGAGCTTGTTTTTCATGTTGTAATGACATATTTCTGTTGTAATCACATCATTACGACATACAAACATATTACTTTATAACACTAAATGTCTCTTGCTATAATAATATACTATTTATCTCATTGTAACATAAAACTTTTCACATTCTATCGTCTTTTGCTTTAAAA